TGCAGATCTTTCACTGAAGCCATTATGATCACGTTATTTATGAGATTATGTGTGACCTAAGATTTTCTGTTATCCCCCACCCCCTAAAATATTAGCTAATATATGTCAGCGCCCTAAAGGTTTATTCTACAAATCTAGAGGAGATAGAGTTTGAATTTTCATATTGAAAAAATTTATATATATTGATCAGCGAAAAATCCGCACATATGATTTTTTATATGTGTGCTCAACTATGTTTGTGTTTATTATAATTTGTAACACCCCAATTTGAGATGTACAAAATACAGTCTACACTGTCTATAATAATAACAGATCTTTCTGTAACAGATTTTTCTCTATAATGGATTAAAAGTTTGGTCCTGATTTTTTACTATATATTTGAAATCTCTTTCTATAAGAGATATTATTAATTAAACTTTTTATTACATATAATGGATTGTATCTGAAAATCACTTCATATGACTTACATATAAATCAACACCGCCTATAATGGATTCACATGATCTTAAATAAAATGCAGATCTCTCCAAATCTAAATTATAATTAATACTAATAAAAATAAAAAAATTTTGTCTATCTCTTAAATAGTCAGAGTATTCTTTAATTGTAACACAAATTAAAGCTTTGATCATTCTTATTGGTCAATTTAACAATCAGCAAAGTAAAAACAGTCAATCAACCAACTTTCAAAGAAGATTTTACAAAAATCACAAGGACAACAACTGTATCTTTATTTATAGATTAATTGGCTGTATCTCAAAGATCATTTTCGTATTAGAAAGTGATGCTCTCAAAAAAAATTTTTTATGTCAGAAAATTTTTATCAGCTATCAATAGCCAATTAACCATTTAACGGATAAAAATCCAAAAAAAATTAAAACAATTATTTGAAATAAATGGCATAAGGTATGATGTGATGAACTAAAAGTATTGATAAAATGTTGATGATGATTTGCTGAAATAATTTCTACATTGAATTTTAAGGTTTCTGGTCCAAACTGTTTTCTCAAAGCCCAAACTAGTTTGGGCAATTTGGGCTTCTCAACATTTTTTATAAGCATGAACATTAAAAAACTATATGAAGCAACTTGCTTTAACTTAAACAACTTTAAAATAATTTCACCCAATTTCGGCTAATAACAAAAAGTAGTTTGGGCTTATAAAAAAATAATTTTTGCCCAAAGTATTTGGGCAATTTCAGCTACTAATAGAAGCAGTTTGGCCAGAAACCTTAGTCCCAATTAAGGTTGCTTGCCAAAACTCCTCCAGAAATCAATCAAGTATATATTTGACAACCACCAGATTATCAAAATATGATAACCTTATGGAAAATAGGCATTCATGGTGCATGTTATATATTTAAGAATTTTATCAAAACTCATGCATAGCTTTTGATATCATGAGCTGAATAAAAGATTAAAAAAGAAATAGCCATGGGAAATGTCCAATCAAAAGCATTGCTACATTCAAAAAGACAAAAAATGTATTAGTAGTCAACTTATCATCATCATTTAAACCAGCAGCAGAATCATCATCAATGTCTGAATCAGCAGAAATGGTAATTACTATAATAGAAAAATCTATATAGTTGGACATTTGATATAATATTTAATTGAAATTTCTAAATTTAAAGCTTCCAAATAAATTATGTTTTAAAAAATTTATTTTCTTGCAATTAGTAATCTGAGATTCATTTAAAAATAATAATTAATATTATTAATTACTATATATATATTTGAATAAATTATAAAAATCACTTTTTTTTACAACTCACTTAAATAAAAATGATTTTTAATTCAATGATTACTATCTTTGTTGTTGTTGTGTTTATTATTGTTGTTGTTATTATCATGATTATTGTGTTGAATACGATTTGTAAGTGTTTCATAACCAAGATAAATTATAAAAGCTCCAATGCCCCAAGATAGACCTGGCCAAGAAAGTCTTGCATTGTTACGAAATCCAAATTGATTGCGCCAGGCTTCTCTTCGAGCCCAAGGATCATTCGGAGTAGTCATAATTTTTTTTTAACTAAAAATAATGTAACACAATTTGATTAAAAAATCGCTTGTGCTGCCTTTGAAATTAGATATATATATACCGATGTTTTTACCATCATTCTTTTATTATAGAATCATTTATATAATAAGTCAAGAGGTTAATAATTTACTTGGTGTTTCAAATAAATTGTATAGACAAGATGATACTTCAATTAATTAGATGAATCCAAAAAATTCATTATTATAAAAATAATTAATGTTTATATCACCAAAAGATATGTGGAGTAGAGTTGGAAATAATACTTTAAAAATCCGTATTTTCCTTTAAAAATTTTTTAACTTCTGAAAAAAAGAGAGTTGCCAGATATTTTTCATATACAGAGCCAAGGCTCAAGCTTGACGTTACATAAATAATTCTAATATTTTTATTTTATTTATTATGCACATTACCTAAAAAACAATTCAAGAGCATATTTTCTTGAACTCAGCTTGAACTTGAAAGTTCAGGTTTTAACTCGAGTCTGCTCAACTTAGAGAATAAAGTGAACAGAACAAATGATTCAAATAAATGAATAAAGTAAATGATTCAAATAAACAAATAAAACAAATGAATAATTCGAATTAATTGAGTTATATTATAAATAATTCAAATAAGAATTTGTATTATGAATAGGAACTCTAACTCAATTCAATAATAATAAAGATTTTTTTATTTGAACACAACCAAAATTCTGGGTGGTTTTTTTATGCCTATTGATATAAAGAATATCGTGAATCTGAAATTGATTTTTTCAAAACCGTTTCAGCTAACATCCTCTGTTAAGGGATCACCAAGAGATGATTAATATATTAACCAAGAACAATGATATGATAAAATTGTAAATATATTAACAATATTGAAAATATGCTTGCTTCCTAATAATAAAAAGTTTTATTATTTAAAAAAAAGATAATATCCATAAGCATGATCAATCATCAATAGGTAGGGTATTTTGCTATAAACCCCAAAGTTATATATTTATTCAAAAGCTATTTAAAAAAGATTATAAAAATTGTACATCTAATGTGCTTTTCTCATTCTCACTCATTTAAAAAAAAGGAGGCGGGAAAATTTAAACAATATAAATCAAAACTTCGCCTTTTTGAATAATTGTAAGAACCATAAAATCTAATCCCATAATTTTAGGGATGCATCTCATCCTTTAATCTAAACAGTATCACTGCCTGAAGACTCTGACCCAGAAGATGCAGAACTTTGACTGTCTAAAGAATCATCATCGGAACTATACTGTGCCTCTATATGAACTAAATATAAATATAAAAATATTTTAGTAAAAAGACATTCTCACAAAAAGAAAGTCAAACATTATAATAAAGGAAAAAAAACAATTTAGTAAATGTACTGATTGTAGATATAGATTTATTATCAAATTTAGCCAAAGTTTTTTCCAAAGCTATTATTTGTTCTTCATTTTTCTGGCTATTTCTTTTGACAGTAGCTATTCTTTTCTGCTTAAGTTCATTTGCATCAGATGTGTTCGTCATTACAAATTCATAGATTTGTTTAACAATTTTAGTGTCTATATTTTCTATTTCCAATTCGTAACCACCCTCTTTTTCTGCAATTAAAGGTGCTCCACTCTGTTGTACTATGCTAATAAGTGTAACTGTAAGTTCAGGAGAAAGATATTCAATCCTTTGGGAAAGGATAGCCTTTTGTTGTGCAGTAAGCTCTTGATTTTCCTCATTAATAATAAAACTATTATTGATGCTTGAAATACGTGGACGTTTTGTTTTTGACTTGGTATCAAATGATGAATTGGCATCAGATTTGGTTTTTGACTGAATAGATTTTTTAATAGGTTTTTTGGATTTGGATTTTCCTGATTTTTTATATTGAGTTATTTGAGATGATAATGCAGCAAGGTGCCTCTGTAGAGCTTTCAAATGGTCATCTGAATAACATATATTTTTAATTAATTTATATAATGCTAATTATAATTTTTGATACAAATAATGAAAATACATACTTTCATCACCTGAAACAGATTCTTCTTCTTCCTTGATCTCTTTAGGAACAGTTGGTGGAGGTGTTGGTGGAGGTGGTGGAATTGGTCTTTCTACCCATTTTTTATCAAAAACTTTTTCAAGTTGTTTACCCATATTATAAACTTCAGTACCAGGAGGATTGAATTTGTAACAGTTTTCAAACATCAAACGGATATCTACTTCAAAATCTTCAGCAGAAGTATATGTTTCATTTTCTAATTTGGTACTTATCATGGAAAGATCCATAGGAGTTTTTATAATATTGTAATACTCAGGAACACCTAATTTTTCAGCATTGACAGGTTCATAGAAAGGATAAGCATATGCATAATGTTGTTTTTTTTTCAACTCTTGATAGACTGAACGACAAAAGTTGAGTTCAGCATTTTTCTTAGTTTTTTTACGACGGGAAGTTTGAGTGATTTGAGGAAGTTCTTTGTTAGGAGATTTGATTGTTCTTTTTGGTCTATTTGCTTCGGCATTGTCAGTTTTAACAGTGGAAGGAAAGGCAGTCTCTATAACAGGTTTTTTGATTAATTTATTGGTTGGTTTAGAAGAAGAAGAGGAGGATTCTGTAGCTGGTTCAGGTGCAGGTTTCTTATTATAATCATCAATTATGAAGATAAATTATATTAGTATAATACAATAACATAAATATAATATTTATTTATCTATAGATTCATTTACCTCTTTAGGCTTTTGAGGAGCAGCTTTAATGATGGTATTAGCACCAGGCATCTTAGAGAGTTGTGCAATAAATATTTCTTCCAACTCTTTAGCATATTGAGAAAACTGGTGATGTTTACCATTGTAAATGACACAATTGGAGAAGATGCGACAAACATCATCTACAAAGTCTTGAACACATTTATATACACAGTTATTAAGATTTTTCTCAACTGTACTTAAATCCATTGGAATTTTAACAATATCAAGATAATCAGGGATGTTGAGCTTGATTGGTTCAACAGGTTCAAGAAAAGGTGTTGCATGTGGGTGACGTTTTAATGCCTTAAGTGCATTAGTACAATGTTTATTATGCTCTCTAGTCATAACTTCTTTAAACCAAAAAGTATGGAACCTAATTGTAATCAATAAAATATCAAATAAAAAACATTAAATATACTTGTGTGTGCATATATTGATCATGATTGAGGGATGAGAGATTAGAAACGATGTAAAATGTATGTAAAGGAGTGTATCATTATAATATATACACATTTATAATATAGGTCTACTCGAGTAAATAGTTTCTTATGAAGCATTCATCCACAGAAGTCATACCTTGCATACTTTTCATCATTGCCAGGAATTGCAGGAATTTGAGAATTGGCAGTATTAGAAGAGATGATGGTGTTGGAAGGAAAGAGAAACCCCGAATTTTGTCCCTGAGTGCTTTTAGTTTTCTTGGATTTAACCATGTTAAGGATTTTTTTTATTACTTGTAAGAAAGAAACATAATAAAAATATATATATAATAATTTAAAATTCGAGAAAAGATCTGACGGAAATTACTGGTGTCTAATCTTTCAAAATTTTTTTGGAATATTCTTCTCGCATGGAAAGTTAATTTCTTCTCTAATCAAATATCACAAAGTTTATTTACAACACATATATGTTTAATTATGAATATATATTCTGTAGGAAAGCATTAAATTAAGCTGGTAAATTATCCCAACAACACTCAGTAAAGAATTGAGGTACGTTTCCCAAAACTACTAAATAAATTTATTAAATATTACCCTCACTAAAGAAAGAAAAGAAATAAAAAATGATAAAAAAAATTAATATAAATTAAGAGAAAATAATTATATACGGGATTATGAATTCATTGTTAGAGATAAATTTATTATCATTACGAAAATATAAAATTCGAAGACAACAACAAGGACAACGATAAGGATAGTTTGTTATTTATTAAATGATTGATTCACAATACATGAAGTTAAGAAATTATAACGTTATTTATACATGTTAAAGGTTCTATCATCTAGTTCTCTGATTTCTTGAAATCCTAATTTATTCTAATTAAATGTATTCCTTAAACCTTCTGTGTAGAATTATTTCTAAAGTGATCAAATCATTTAAACTCTTTGTTAAATTAATTCCGAGAATTAAAGGTCTGTTACATTTTAGAATGCTGGATATTTTGAAATATTTTCCGTGATCCATAAAATTACTATTTTACAATATACAGTCTACTCTCTCTATAACGACCACTAGGTAAAAATTTCTCTATAACGAACTTCCCTTTTGTCCCGTTTCAATTTTTTATAATTAATTTCTCTCTCTATAACGACCATCTTAATAAATTCTCTCTATAACGACCAAAAGCAGAGAAATTATATATAGGGACAGAGGGTTCGTTATAGAGAGAGTGAACTGTATGTAGTTCCAATAATCCTTTTTCTTTCACTGACTTATTTTTTGCCTGGCAAAAAACAAATAATATCTTGATGAGAGACTTCTTTTTGCTAGTTATTCAAGAAATCAGTTACAGCTTCCACAACCACTGGCATTTTACTAACATCATCACTAATGTCACAATGTGTGGATTGGTCTTTAAATTGGTGTAAACAATTGTCACACTTATTACATGATCAGGAAATTAAATCTCCAGGCCAAGCATAGTAATTACATAATAATTGGTAGCAAATATATATTTCTTTTGCAATAAAATATTGTCTCATTATTTTTTTCTGTTAGTTTAATCCTTTCTTCATTCTCCTCATTTTACATATTTAAAATAGTTGTTCAATTAAATGTTAAAAGGCAAATATTGAAAGAAAGTTGGCTGATTTTGGAGTAGCAATATTATTAATAATTACCCTTCTCTTTTATTTGCTACAATAGAATATACATTTCGAAGGTCATTTTGAGAATAAAAGAAAATGGATTTTGCAGGGTAATGAATCTCATACTGCACTTCCTATTTCTTTGTATCATGTCTCCTTTGTTAAAAAAAATTATGAACTTAATATATATATTTTCTTTACATTAATAGAATAAATATATTTACCCTAAATTAAGTGGAAATGTAACATATTTTACCACAAAGATATTCTGCATTTTCTTTAATGTTCAAACCAAGGAGATGAGGGATGGGACCATCTTCCCTTCTTTTTTGTTTGTATATATTCATTGGGATGTGGCAAACAAGTCAGGTCCTAAATATGAATATTTTTCTTTTGATAAAGTATCATCTCAAGTAAAATATAATTCATTTAATTCATTTTCTTTAATAGAGACAAAAATAAGATTTTCCAATAATTATAATAATGTAATTATTGATACATATGTGCAATCATCAATAACCTGCAAGTTTAAAGAATCATCCCTCAATAATCTTTTATTTATTTTAAAGAAATATTATAACAATTAATATATATATTTTATAAGTGATGGGAAAACTACTTTTGAATTTCCAAGTTTTTCTACTAACAAGACATCAAATTTTTTATCGCCATATGATTGGATAGGTTCTGAAAAAGGATTTTGCAATAGTAAAAATTAATTCTTCGCATACTTATATATTAGGTGGACAATTCAGAAAGGCTTGATAACCAGGCAATCCGGAGGAATAATCTTTCTGCCAAATAAACAATGGAAATTTAGATAAACTTTGAAATGTAAAGGTTTGATAATCAAGCAAGCTGTGGGAATAATCTTTTCCACAATTGTATTTCCAAACACTCAATCAATAGCCTATCAGAGTTTTTTTTATTTATATTAGTAAACAATTTTTTTGTAAAAGTTCAAAGTTATCAATTTTATTTGGTTTTACTATAAAAAATGGAAGTTTAGATAAACTTTAAAATGTAAAGGCTTGATAATCAAGCAAGCTGTGTGAATAATCTTTTCCACAATTGTATTTCCAAACACTCAATCAATAGCCTATCAGAGTTTATAAGTAAAAAAATTTTTTTATAAAGGTTCAAAGTTATCAATTTTATTGATTTTACTATAAACAATGGAAAAATGTAAAATGCTCAATAACCAAACAAGCCATGGGAATAATCTTTCCGCAATTGTATTTATAAACACCCAATTAATGGTCTATCAAAGAGTTTTTTTTCATTTATATTAGTAAAAAGTTTTTTTGTAAAGGTTCTATTTTACAAAAATTTAAAAAATCCGCATATATTAATAATTTAATAGCAAAATCATAGAATTTATTAAATGAGTTAGAAATTATCAAAATGAACAATTTAAATAAATAAATATCATATTCGCCAAAATTTAATATTATCACCAATAATTATTTAATAAAATGATTATCTTCACTATATGAAAACTCATATTCGTCGTCATCGTCATCAATTGGGAATCTACCTGTATTATATTTTTTTGGTGCTTTTTCAGATTTTTCAACTGTAGCAAAAAAATTTAAAATTAATAATAATAATTAATTTAATAATCAGTTTATTAATAATTAATTAATTTACTTTTATCTTTCAATCCCGATTTAAAGGTGGCAAACACAAAAATTCCAAGAATTAAAGTCGTCTTTCAACAAAAAAAAATATATATATGAGATGATAATAATAATGATGATGATCAATAATAGTATTAATAACAACAATAATTACCGTTGTTAATGTAATTGATGCAAATACTAAAAATAAATAAATTAATAATATTTAGTAAAAATCATTTGATAATATTTAATAAAAATCATTTGATGATATTTTCTTCTTGATGTTAAATTAGATATATACATACATAGGCATATAAAAAAATACCAATATTTGCTTGGATCTTGACGAAAATCAGCCCATGGAAATATTGGATTCTGTAAATAAGCTAATACATAAAATCCAGGTATAGCTGCCCAATATAATAAGGATATAAACATTAAAAATCTATTTTCTTTTTTCAACTAAAATAAAAAAAAACAAACTTAGAAGATTTAAATTTAAAATTAAATCAAAAAAAAATATCCTTACCGCAAGATATATTATCAAAATATTTAATGGAAATAATGCAACTATGCAAGTCAAAAAAATAGTTGTTGCAATTGGATAGTCATATTGCAATCTATTCCAATATTTATAACTTAGATAAGTATAATATATTGAAAATCCCCAAGCAAAAAACAAATCTAATTTTAAAACTAGAATAAACGAAACATAAATCTTATGGATCGCTTCATTTTATCCCCCAAAAAAAAAAGAAATTAATTAAATTATTAAATTGCTTTTCATAAATGAATTATACGTGATCGTCATACTTTGCATTTTCCAACTAGCCCCAGTTCTTTGGTAATTATACCATTCAAACTCTTTATATAGTCTATATCCAAATATTTTAAACAACGTTGCAGAGAATACTAATATTGATGATTGTATTATAGTAAATATCTTCGAGTTGGAATTAATTTCAATACTATTGAGATTATTATCATTATATTTGCTAACAGTGTCAAATATTTTGTCCAACCAAATATAATTCTCAACTAATGCGACTATTGAGTAAGCTGTTATCAAAAGATTTATTAATATAATTGCTATCAATTCAATATAGTCATAATTATAAATCTAAAATTAAAAAATTAAAAATTAAAAATTAAAAAATTTTAAATTTCATTTGTTGTAAATAATATTTTCGATTTATTTACTTACAGCATCTATACAAAGACAAAGTAAAAATATCTGAAAACATGCAAGAAATCCATTCTCAATTACAATCCTTGTGCCTCGATCTTTTATACTTTCTAAAGGATCTAAATCAATACTTGTTGAATCAATATCAACAATATTACTGCTAATACTGCTACTATTATTATTGTTATTTATAATATAATCTATAATCTTGGTATCTTGATAATTTGACATCAATATAAAGTACTGTACAACACAAATTGATACTGCTTGTAGTATAGCACATGCTATAAATAACCCTGACCATTTATTGCTTATTATATTTGACCACTAAAATTAAAAAATAAATTAAAAATAATCAATATTTTATTTACTTATTTTTATTGTTTAAATAATTTATTAATTATAACCTACTAGCTTTTTAAAAAAAAAACCCAATTTTTTCATTTTTAAATAATAATGATTAAAAAAAAATTTATATCCTTCGCAAGGATTTATATATTTTCATTTTTAAAATGTCATCAGGTTTTTTACTTGTTATTAAGATCTTTTTCACCTATTATAGAAATGTTATTGTTATACATAAACGTAATGATCCATCATCCCAAATTTTATTTTACAAATAAATTATTATACAATAGTCATAATAATTAGGCTTATAATTTTTTTTATATATATATACTTGCTATAACTTCTCTTTTTATATATATCTCTAATTTATTGCTGAATCTTTTTTATAATAGATTGTCCAGGCTTTTGTGACAAAGATTGATATTTCTAAATTATATTTCACATTATGCTATTGTTGAAAATGCCCGGCTATTGCTCAACAATCGAGAAACCATTGATATAGTATTATTGACGTTTATTTGTAAGAATCCATTGATATCGCGACATCGTTTTTATCGCATGTGACAAAATCGATTGTTGATCATTTTTATGTTGTGAAATATGTGATTTCAATTGAATTTAGAATAGAAAATAGGGCGTGACTGCGCACAAAAACTTGTTTAACCTAAGATACATTTTTTTAACGTGTGTATTTTGCTTTCTATGTTCTCAGGTTCTCAGTATGTGTGTGAAAAGTGATCAAATGATTAAATCGCTTTTGAAGGGTTACATAGGAGCTATATTTCAAGCTTTAGTGATCAATGTAAGTATATTAATATTGTAGGCTCTAATGATGGCTCCTCGATTAATTACGGCATATAAAAATTGAATTGCGGCTAATTGCAGTTCCTATCTTTAGTAGGCTCAAAATCATGCATTTTTGTTGAATGTTTATTTAAAATTTTACTAATATTAAAGCATGTTGTAAATCTCATTCATTTAATATTAATACTTCATTAAGTAAACAAATTATCACTAACCATTATCTTTTTCTAGCCTATTATTATTACATAAGGATTTACATGAGACATCACTCTTTTTATAAAGTTCCAAACATTTATGATAAGCATGACCATATACATATTAACATTACACCATAAATTTATTTTGTTTTCAAATTGCGTAATGGTCTCCAAGCCAATAAAAATTATTATTGCGTGATATCTGGAAGGAGAATCATCACAAATTAATGACACACTATTTTTAGTGTCACAACACTATAAAATCACATGACCCAAACGGGTAACAATATGCAATAGCTAAACTCACTAGGATAACTATAAAAGAAAATGAACAATTAAATGTAAAATATACTGTATGTTTGCTATTTTTAATTTAACATATGTTTTTTTATTATAATTAGCACAACAAATTATAATTAATAAATTTTTGTTGAATGGTAAATAAAGAAAACCTTGGCATTTAATCAACGCCCCAAGTAATAATCATATGAAATCTAGGGTCTTCTGAAGCAATAATTCATGAAGCGGGGCATAATAATAATTCGTGATTTCAAAGCATAATTCGTGATACAAGACATATAGTTTGTGACGCGAAGCATAGTTTGTTAGTTCTTATTATAATAATAAGGGAAGACCCTAATTGTAATCAGCAAGAATTATGTATTTTATCCTATAGTAATAATCATTAATTGCTGATCCTTTTATAAACGGCAGAAAAATACTATTAAAATTTTGGGTAAAAATTTGACGGATCTACTATGTTTTTTAAAATGACCATAAAAAGTTGTGGGACTAAATGACTTGCATCATATGTATGATTTGCATTTTCGTACATGCAGAAAAAAATCATACATACATTTTTATTATATATTAATTTAATAAAAATGTATGTATTTATGATCTGCATTTTCATACATGTATGGAAATAAAATTCATATATACGTTACATACATAGTAATAGGGGTTCATACATTACATGTTTTCGTAACACCGGTGTAACATTGTATGATTACATCATACCATACCATACAATACGATCTGCAAGAGTGAATCTCTCCCTACCGAATCTAAATATATTTAATATTAATTAATATATTTTTTTTTAAAAAAAAATTTCATTTTTTTTTACAAATATACAAAAACCACAATGGGAAACACTTTAAATAAAAATAAGCATAATGACGATACTTCCACCAACAAAAATGATGAATATTCTGATGAAAGAATGGAAAAATATGGGGAATGTCCAACATGCAATAGATATAATACTTATTATTCATGGTGTCAATCATGTGATCCAAAGTTGTTAACTAAAGGATGGACTAGTGGCAACAAAACATTAGATAAATTGATTAAAAGTACACAACTTAAAACAACAAAATATGATAGTAAATATTATCTTCAATGGATTCCTTCTAATGATTTAACAAATATTGAAAAGATAGGTGAAGGTGGGTTTGCAACTATATCCAAAGCTACTTGGTTAAATGGTGATAAATATGTAAGTAGAAATAAAAGAACTAACAAAGATATGCCCGTGGCATTAAAAAAACCACATAATTCACAGAATATTTCTGATGAATTTTTTAATGAGGTAAATTATTTATTTTTCTATTTATTTTCTGATTTTAAATATTATTCTGAAATTCAATATTTTTTTTATATAGTTTAGAAATTATGTTACATTTTATAATTATAAGTTTATAAATAAAATTTATGGATTAACACAAGATCCAGCTACAAAAGAATATATCTTTGTAATGGAATACATGGAAGATGGAAGTCTTCAAGATTATGAAGATCAATATTCAAAGGAAAGAAAGAAATATTATGGGGAATGTCCAACCTGCAATAGATATAATACTAATAGGGCATGGTGTCAATCATGTGATCCAAAGTTGTTAACTGAAGGATGGACTAGTGGCAACAAAACATTAGATAAATTGATTAAAAGTACACAATTTAAAGCAACTAAGTATCATTATAGTAATCATCTTCAATGGATTCCTTATAATGATTTGACAAATATTGAAAAGATAGGTGAAGGTGGGTTTGCAACTATATCAAAAGCTACTTGGTTAAATGGTTTGAAAGATATAAATAGTGGTGGTGATGGAAGAACTAGTGAAGATAGGACTGTGGCATTAAAAAAATTAAATAATTCACAGAATATTTCTGATGAATTTCTTAATGAGGTAAATTATTTTATATTTATTTTCAGATTTTTTAAATATTATCAATTATTACTGTTGCAATTAAATATTTTATTTATTATTTAGTTCAAAAATTATATGAAATTTCATAATAAAGATGATATAATTCATATTTATGGATTAACACAAGATCCAATTACCAAAGAATATATATTTGTAATGGAATATATGGAAGATGGAAGTCTCCAAAATTATTTAACTAAATATTTTAAAAATTTAAAATGGGAAAAGAAAGTTGATATTCTTTATTTTATTATTGAAGGTTTAAAAGATATTAATAAAAAAAAAATTATTCATCATGATTTTCATAGTGGTAATATTCTTCAAAGTAAATGGAAGTCATTTATTGCAGACTTAGGATTATCATGCCCAGCTAATCAAACATCAACAAACAAAAATGATATATGTGGAGTATTACCATATATTGCACCAGAAGTTTTAAAAAAGAAATCAGCAGTAATGTAACGTCGAAATTAGTTAGCTTTATTTAGAAATTAGCGGTTATAACGTTACGTCGCAATTAAAGTGCGATATCGCGGCTAGAATGTTAGATTGCAATGAAGTTGTTATTAATTAATTTAATTGTATAGAAGAAGCTCAAATTCGACTTGCTTGTAAAATAACTTTGTAATAACTTGTTAATAACTTTGTTATAAGTTAATTAGTTTCGACTAAGGAAAACTTTCTTACAAGTTAATTAGTTTCGACTAAGAAAACTAAATAAATAAAATAGTAATATTTTATTTAAATAAACTTTTATCTTCTTTAACCAAAATTATTCGCCAATACCAAAATCAATTCGTTGATCCCCTATTCATTCTGATCCACGCAAAAACAAAAATCATTGTTATCACCAATTAAAATACGCTCTCCCAAATTTAATCGGTGACACTATATCAGATTCTTGTAAACTTAACACTTCTTAGTTTGGGTTTCTATTCAAAATAATGTTTATTATTATAAACAAAATAAAGATTTTATTCAATCATTATTATTATTTTCAGGACTAGTGATGATATTAAAAAAAAATTTTATATGATTACAAAACATATTTATTCTCTTTCCACTTGTTTTCTTTTAAGTACAGCTTCATAGAGTTTCTCTTCCAATTGAATCCTCTTTTCCAATAATGATATATATTGTTCTTGTTGTGATAAATCTTCAGAGGCTTGTGTATTAATATTAGCTGTATCTTCAATCATCATCCTTGAATTGCTACTTGATTTGGTTTTTTTTGATTATTGCTTGATTTATGAATTTTGCCTATTATTTTCATTTTGGATAGTAAATGGATTATCATAAGAATAGCATAAAGAAAACATGAATTATTTATTACCTTTACGTTTAGCTGATTCTACATATTTTTGTGTTTGACTTTTATTTTTTGAAGAGCTTGAAACATTATATTTTGTTGTTATCTTGATTTGATTCCATTGATTTAAATCAAATTTTGAAGAACTAAAAATTAAGCATTAAAAATTAAGCATAATTAATTAATTGAAATAAAAATAAGAAATTATAAAAAGTTTTTAAATTATTTACATGTTTATAGCAGCTAGCAATGACATTCTGGTTCCATCTCTATTAATATTTGCATGTGAAGCTTCCACAACATTAGTATTATTTCTATTTATGTTCCATAATTCATATGGCATCTTTGAGTAATGCTTATTAATTGATGCAAGGATCCATAACCCATTCTAAATAAAGATTATAAACATTAGGTATATTATAAATATTGAATTATATTATTGCTAATTAATAATAAAATACCAGTAATAGATTTATTTTTGGTATTATTAAGTACACTAAAAGCTTCTTCAACTTCAGCTTCCATAAGAAATGGAAATGATTTCATCAAATTTCTTTTTTCATCATCAATATTTTTTATTTTATTGACATTCCTATTTAAAAATCAAGATAAAAAAAAATTTAAATTAACATTTATATTAGTCGCATGACATTTCCCGCCGATCTATAGGAGGTTGTAAAACATAGTAAAATTTGGATGATCTGCATCATAGTAAAATTCGAAT